TTTGAACTTTTTGATTCTTGACCTGTTACACCCGGGCAGGGTTGATAACATTGTGAAAATCGAGGCAGTTGGAGTTTGATTTCACTTTGTTTTCCTCGGTGTTATGAAATAAACCCAATAAGTAACCCACTTTTTTCTCTGTATCAGGCAAGTTGCTCACCTTTGCATAAGATAATTATACATTCAGAGAACTGGGAGCGAAATGGGAGCGAAGAAACAAATTTTCTTATAAGGAGTCTGGAAAAAAGTTTCAGTAGTAGGCTTCAAATTTGTTGGAAAACACATGGTTTGCTGTTGTACATAATCTTAATGATTTTTGCTTGGGGGATAACAAGACAATGACTATTGAAATTCAACTTTTTCCCTTCTTAAGCTAGCTTATTGAAGATGAAATCAGGGATCAAGACTTTGTGTATTAAGGGTCTTTGATATAATGGGTTTATATTAGAGAGATTTTTCTGAAATATTTTTTGTCAACATCATATTCAAATACACATTCCTTGATATTTATACTCGACTCCTTAAACTTTTCTCCATTTTTCAAACAAGCATTCTCAAGTAGAGCAAACACTCGAGCTTCACACAAAACCTAATGTCATTCCTGCAAAATCATAAAGGCGAAACAAAATTTAACCCAGAAAATAACAAACCCCGATTCAAAATACTGTTGTTGATTAAATCATACCGCTCGAAACAGCCAGAAAGTGAATCCATTGTTCATACACAACTTGAGAAATTTATATCCATATTTGCAACAATTTATCAAACGAAAGAAAATCCAACCAGCAGCCGATTCATTTCTTAGGTTAAGAACTGTAGCTTCTTAAAACATAGAAACCAATGCAAATAGCAGTTTAAGTTCATTTTTGCACATATGAGCTCGCCCATGAAATAGTGGTAAAGCCTTAACTACCCAAAAGTCCAAAGAAGAATTACTAGGGTTTGGATGGTGTCAGTCGTCGAAATTTCTCCGGCAAAGAGGCAGTTAGAGATTTTAACTGAATGGAGAAAAACCCTAAAATGAAAATGAAATGACAAGTTCATACTGTACAGCAAGAAATTATGCGCAGTTTATGGGATTATGAGAATTGATTTTTTTATCGTTACAGAAAAAAAGTAGATCTCACCTGTGAGAGAAATAAAAAATAACGATTGACTTAGGAAAGTAACGATCAAAAATTTGATCACCACCAAACATACACTTAGCTTGGGCAGGAAATTACATAAGGTTGTGCAGTTGTGAAACTTCAATTTTTGAATTCAATTATTGTTATTCTAAGTGTTGTTTGGTTACAATGGTAAGTCTTTGAAATTATAATAGAATAGAAATGAGTTATAGATAAGTGGATAGTAACTGTGAATTCTACTAAATCTATGATTAAAATTAATATTTGACTTTGACCATTAAATTATAAGAAAATAATAATATTCTGGAAACATGCACTTAACCATAGTAATAAAATTAACTCAACCTATACTATACCCGAGTGAATTGTAAGTTAAGCACGTAAAAAGACATGCAATCCATTAATTAGACAGCAAAAGGAGCTCTATATAACTAGGCATTATAACATAACATAGAAAGTTTAATAGATGCCTGCTTAATATAAAAATAAAAAGGGTAATTTGTCAAGCCGAGTCATTTTCACATTTTCAAATGCGTGAATGGTACATGAATTTTATTTTATGTATCAAAATCATACACGAACTCAATTTTGTATCAAAATATAAATGAACAACCAAAAATATGATCGAAGTTTCTCGTATTAGAGCATGTTGGCTTGGGCTTCTGTCTATTAAAGAAGCCAAATGTGGCTTCCACCGGCCTCAAGAAGCCATATCCATTACCATACAACAGTTAAATCCACCTCAGAACATAAGAACATAAAACATTCTTGAATAATCTGTCAACAGAATCCAACCTACAAGCATTAACATTTTTTTTTTCTGCCTTCAGTAGTAAAGTGTCTAGATAACGTGTCACTAGAATCATTCAAAAACAAGATTTCATAATCGCTTTTGATAATATAACAATGCAGTCAGAAATTTAGAGCATGTTTGGTAAAGATTTTAATCCAATTAACATCAATTTTTTGACCATTATTTCACTATTTCGGCCGTCATTTTTGAATTCTTCTCTTCTAGATAGGACCCACTTTATCTTTAACGGACAAAAAATCAATTAACAAAATCTCTACCAAATAAGACTAAAATGCCTTAATTCTTCTACAACCATCAATACAGCAAATGTCACGGGCTAGAACAAAATACTAACCCTAGCAGAGTTTAACTTATCCCGTACTACTGTATTGGTCCATGTTGCCAAACAAGACACTAATGGCTTAATCAACTAAGAACATGTTTGGTAAGGATTAAAATCAGATGTTTAGTAGATTTTGATAGAAATTGTTAAAAAAAATTATTCTAGTTGTACATACTACAACCCCGGTTGACAACGTACTCACAGGAAGGAAGCCCACGATTTTTTTATTTATTGTGTGTATCTCTCTTATGTGTGTAATTGTCAGCTCTAATTGTACATGTAGCATTGTTGGTTGTTAAAATATGTGGTTGAAAAGTTGTGTATCCTATGTGACAATTCTGGGAACGTTCTACAACCACTTGGAAATTCACGGGAATGTTTTACTATGTCAAATTCAAATTTTAGCGTTACCAAGTTTACGTTCCAATTTACCGTTTGACCTTACGTGCGGAATTAATACAATTAATTGTAACAAGTCACAAATTAATTGTTGTCTAGGAGATTAAACATACACGTCCAATTAAGCCTATGTTGAATTGTCGGTTTGCGTAAAATAAATAAAACAGTAATAACATCAACTCACAATATGATGATGAAGAAACCCTAACGTGAGTCAACATTCGGGACCAAGTCAGTAGTTTCCACTATACCAATCCAGCCAGTACAAGTTACGCCAAACTCCGTACCAAGTCAAACTCGCTATTCCAGTCTCATGATCTACTGTCGTAGATACTGCTAGTCTCCTGCTAGCTTCCCGATCTACCTAAGGTGTTTATGGATGAATTCCTTGTTCAGTTCTACCTTGGATCACTTGAGAGAACATTGAAGATGATATCTATATAAAGCACAATATGGCAATCTATCTTTCACGTTCACAGCCTTTATATTTATAGTTGGGGGCAATTAGGAGTCTTAGGCCGTGTCAAACTTTCCAAAAATTGAAAATACGATTTTCCATATAACACTGTTGCTCGAGTGAACAACAAGCGATGCCACTTCGCTAGAGCGAACATCAAGCGGCAAGCAAGCGACGACCATTCTGCTTCCTCTCGCTCGAGCAGTGGCAGGGCGAACAGTTAGCGGACTTCCAACGTTGCGACCTTGATTTGAACCAAACACTCAAACCCTAGTCCCTACCATCTAGCTTTGCTAAATTGCACCCTAAGTCCTTAACTTTTATAACATTGTACAATTGAGTCCCTGACTTTTACAAATTTACAATTTAGTCCTTTTGTCCACAGAATCGTCAATTACACCTTTAGACCTAACACTATAAAATGTGTGGTTAAAATTAATTTTTAACTTTAATTTAAATTAAAATCTGAATTTTAATTTGTAAAATAAAGGGGCTCAATATCTACAACAAAACAAGTAAGAGCTATTTTCAATAACTATAAAACTGTTACCCTGGCCCCTTTTAAATATTGAGTGAGTTAATCAAGAAAATAATCCATAACATTGTTTGGGTACAACAAAAATCCAACCTCATACTTGCAAAATCATTAACAGGAACCCACATATGATGGCAAAATAACATAGGAACAAGTTCCATAACATAATAATATGCCATAAACAAGATATAAAGCAAAAGACTTAAAATTAAAACGAATTAGCCAAAATAAAACAAACAAAACCCAGAATTCAGAACACCATTCATGGCATAATCCATCAATCGTACATAAGATCCATTCAAAAAATCCACTAAACCATTCTGTTGAAATAAAAAACAAGCAAGCTTTGCTAAGCCCTTTGATGGATCAATCTAAACACAATAATACCCAGTTTACCCAGCAGCATTCAAGACCCTGTCAATCTCAAAAGAGATGTAAGCATCAACACAAGCATACTGCACTTGATCAAGCGTCAACCATCGGTAGTCCCACCTACTCATAGTTACTCTTCTGGGCTTCTCAAACTCTTTACCAAGCACAAAACTGGCCAAATTCTTCAGCCCTGTATTCTGCAAATTTCTCATCTGATAAGTGTATGCCGCGAGCTCCCTTAAATCCACGGCATTCGCATTGAACCCAAATCCGTAGTCCCTTTCAAGTTTGTCCAAGTCAGACTCAATTCCAACGCCCACAAAAGTGTAGTCCTGTTCGGAGAGGAACTCAACGAGATGGTCGGGAATATAAGAGGAGTGGATGAGTTGGTAGACCAGACAGCGGCGACCGACGCAGAGCTGGAGAAGGGCAACTGGGTTCTGAAGGCGGCTGAAGCTGGGTCGCCACTCTACGTCGAGACCAACGATCAGGCGGCAGTGGTTGTTGAGGGACTCAATCTCGGATAACCACTCTGAAAGACAGGAGCTAAGAATTGGATATCATTTACAGCAGAAAACAGTGAAAACGAGCTAGGAATTTTCTGTTTGTTCCTGTTGATTTGAATATCAGCTATACTTGAATCAAACACATAAAAATTCAATATTTTTCAAGGTTCTTTTGACTTTCTATTTTTCTCCATTCAAATTGCAAGTGGCGCATGAGCCAGAATGACCAGATAATGTGTGATCCTTTTCATGGAAGCTCATATTAGAATTTCCTGTCGGTTTAATCCTGATGGTCTCTTCCAACACATTTGTAATCAGTATAAAGCTTTCTCTCTATTTTCTTTTGAGCATCCCCCCCCCCCCTCTCACCCTAGCAAGTATTGACTCTCTTTCTCTATCTTCCCCCTTCCCAAATCCATCATCAATATTTTGCGAGATGTTTCATTAATTGCATTCTCTTTCCTGTAAATGGTCTTTAATAATTTGAAAAATCGCAGATTACTTTATTCAAATCCTCACACCGCTGATTCCATTTTTTTCTTAGGAAGCGTGGTTTGAACTTGTACTTGCTCTTGTTCACTAACTTTATAAATATCTGTAACGCTTTCTGCAGATTCAGTTGATGAACAGTATTTATTTTTCTGAGGTATTTACACTGTACCAGAGAGCATCAGAATCATTCCGTCAGGTATCAGCTTTATAGATTCTTATAAATCTTGTCACCTCATTTATAATTTTTATTCATTCAGCCTCAACTAATTTGGCTTTTTTCTGGACCATTTCATAATGGTTGCTGCTGATATTAGATTATTGAATCTCTGATGCAGGCAACCAGTGCAGAGTCAGCAGCAAGATCTGAAAATATTCAATTTTTATATCTGAAGATAATAAAATTTCTACAGATGCCAAAAACTGAACTTATGCAACATCGCATAGAGATTGTTTACCAATTTATAAAAGAAATTGTATTGTACCTCAAACGGATTAGGACCAAGAATCCTGTTCCTTTGCAGCACCATCAACATCTAAAGGCATCTGGCAATCCTTCAAAAACCTCATCTCTGCTGCAAAAAGGGAACATTTTACAGTTCAATCAAGTGAACCCATACCATAATAATGCACCTACGAGTGTACCTCAGTTACTCATGCAGCAGGGTAACTTAAACTTACAAGGAAGCTGTACAAGCCAGTTTCAGGTTGGCTCTTCAACGGGGATGCAAAGGTCAGATCCTTCGCCATTATTGAACTCTTTTCAACATAGTCTGATGAAATCTAGGCAACAGTATTCGCCTAGTCAGGCACAACAAGGAATGTCATTACCTCATAAGGGTTCTCAAATTGGCTTTGAGCATGAAGCTTCGGGCTTGTTGCCCCCTTCTTCTGTAGGAATTTCTCAGCACAATACTACTTTGAGCACTCAACAGATGCGCAACTTGCCTGGGAACATCTTCAATAATTTAGATTTTACCATGAGGCCCCTTTCTCAAAATCCCATAATCACTGTATCTCAGTATAACAATCGACAGGACCAACATTTACCAATGCAGAAGAAGCTGAAGCAACCTATGCAACAGATGCTGACTGAGAGGAACAAGCAGCAGATGGTACAAAAAATGAATGAGGATGCGAAGATGGCTCAATTTGCGGAATTGAATCAAAGAATGCTAGGAAAGCATCACTCATTGGGCCAACATTTAGAACAGTATCCTTGGTCAATGCTGCAGCCGAGGGTTGCCTCTCCTCAAAGCTCTCAACACTCCTCTACACAGATTGAGATGAAGGATTTGTCATCAAAACTTTCCAGATCTACAATACCATTGCTATCTACTGCCTCTCCATCTGCTGTTCCTTCTCCTCTTACTCCAGCAACTCCATCTTCTGTGCCAACAGATCAAGAGAAGATTCCTATACGCTTTAGTCCATTATCCGTTGAAGAGAGGAACAAAGTTACACAGGCACCTATTGAACCACCCTTGCTCCAATCACAAGGCATAAGCGAAAGTCAAGTCCCTGTCTCTGTTACACTGGAGTATCCGAAGTCTCCTTTGCTCACAGAGTCTACATGTCCACTTGACTATCAACAGTCACGTGGTCAAGCCGACCCAGTGCAGCGGTTGGTTGAAGTGGTTGGTTGAATATTGTTCCCCTAAAATTTCTCTCTGAATACTTTCACTTCCATTAATGTCTGTGCCGGCAAATGTGGATATATTGAATTGCTTATTATCACTCATGTTAGTTATTTTTGTCATTATGCAATTATTGCTTTGATATTTCCAGAATGGGGAGAAAATAAAGGTTGATAATATTGTTTTTAACTGCTGTGGTTTAGGATTTTAGAGTGCCAATTCGGTTTGTGTAGGATAACTAGAAAGATCAGAAAAGAGAGGGGATAAACATGACGCAGAGAGGGGGTAGGTCAACTACATTTGTAATGTGGATAAACAACAGAAAATGTCAAATGACTATAATCCAGCTTACATAAATCATTTACTTTTAGGAACTTTGAGGAGATTTTGATTCTTGTCGTGCATAGATGTTATATAGCTCTACCATTATCATGATATGTTAAGCCATTTGATGCTAGAAAGGTTCACTGTTAAATTATAATCGTCAAAATTATCCATGACCGATATAGTTTTTTACTGTACGTGGTGTTAGACTTCTTTGTATTTCATATTGCATTTGATTCACTTGCATGTTGAAGGTCAATACAATGTCACAAAAAGCATTACATGCTGCTGTACGGGATATCAACTCAGCCACCTGGATAATCGACAGGAAATCTGGAAGCCTTCTTCAAGGTGAATCGAGGTGGGACGTTGGCCAGGACTTGGCAGATGATACTAGATCTTGTGAACATGGGAACTTTGACCTTCCATGCGTGAAGACAAGGATTAAGCGGCCACTGAGCGCCATATCTGCAGATGATATGACATCAGCTTTTACAAGAGGTGCTAATTTTGAAGGTGGCCAGATATCTGAAGTGGAATTTAATGCAACATTTAGGATAAAGAAACTAAAAGAAGAGGTATTTTGCAAAAATTCAGGAATATGTTTCTCCTCACACTCCCTCAAGAGAAGAAATTCTATCATTTCTTCTCTTCATTAGATGCCCATCTCCTTTTGGTTTCTTCTTATCCATCTTTTATTGCATTTATACAGTCTAATGATCTGCTACTGGAAGAAATCAGAGAAATCAACCACAAGCTTATTGAAACAGTGGTAGATGTGGTAGACATGAAAGATTTTTCCTGGGCAGGATCTGCTGATGGAACAGTCATTAGATGCTTATATAACGCTGTTCGATGCAATGGGAATATTAAAATGCTGAATGCTTCAACGCAAATGGTAACACACTCTTTATGGATTTCTTACTATAGAACTCATTACCAAAAATCTACTCAGGGGTGCTCTTTTTGGCTTGTAGTTTTCCAACCTGATTGTGGAATTGCTTGTGACTGCTGATTATCCTAATTCTTCTCCTGTAGTACTGGAAAGATTGCCCCCTGGTTGTAGGTGAGAAATAAAATTACATATTTCTATTTTATTATTTATTTAATAATTCACAATGCCGTGTATATAATAAAAATGACTATGATAACTGATATGGTGCGTATCAATTCTGCAGTGAAGCTGAAGAAGTGAAAGTTCTGTGGACAAAAGCAATGTCAAATTTCAGTTTATTGCTGCGGAAATATTCACAGCCCATTTCACTAAAAGAAATGGCCAAAACTTGGGATGTTTGTGCTCGTGAAGTATTTCGCCAGTTTGTACAGAAATTTGGAGGAGGTGACTTTAGTTCAACCTATGGCAAATGGGAGAATTGTGTAGCTGCTACGTAATACTGATGCATTTCCCATCCCTGCAGATGACTATAGCCTCCGGTGGAAGGTATGTATAACTTGTACATATTGTTACCAACTGCGTTGCCCTTGAAACAAACACTTGTTTCCTGCTATATTACATACAAGCTCTAGTGGTCGCAAAATCCATTGTTTTGAAAACTGTCCTGACCAAACTGTTTTAACTAGGAACACCGAGATCGGGACCGAGAATCTGTACAGGTGTAGCCTGGCATCAGATGTTAAAAATATGGAATATAACCTGGTTAACTGACCATGGAATAACCAGGCCACCAGGTTGACCAGTTGCACTTTTCTAAATAAAAAGAAAAAATTCTATTAGCTTGGCATCAATCATGTTATAATTTTATGAATATTTTCATCTCTATGGCTTTGATAGAGAGAGTGGATTCAATCCGAGCCAAGACAAAACTTGTCTTCTTTCTTTCGCCCCTCAAAGACCAAGGATACCATAGAACCTTAAATGTGTTGTCATGGATAAAAATTTTGTTTTGATGTTGATGAAATTTTTGTGCTGTATCCATCTGTATATAGTTTTTGGCTTTTGAGTCTACTCTAGTTTGAACTTTTTGATTCTTGACCTGTTACACCCGGGCAGGGTTGATAACATTGTGAAAATCGAGGCAGTTGGAGTTTGATTTCACTTTGTTTTCCTCGGTGTTATGAAATAAACCCAATAAGTAACCCACTTTTTTCTCTGTATCAGGCAAGTTGCTCACCTTTGCATAAGATAATTATACATTCAGAGAACTGGGAGCGAAATGGGAGCGAAGAAACAAATTTTCTTATAAGGAGTCTGGAAAAAAGTTTCAGTAGTAGGCTTCAAATTTGTTGGAAAACACATGGTTTGCTGTTGTACATAATCTTAATGATTTTTGCTTGGGGGATAACAAGACAATGACTATTGAAATTCAACTTTTTCCCTTCTTAAGCTGGCTTATTGAAGATGAAATCAGGGATCAAGACTTGTGTATTAAGGGTCTTTGATATAATGGGTTTATATTAGAGAGATTTTTCTGAAATATTTTTTGTCAACATCATATTCAAATACACATTCCTTGATATTTATACTCGACTCCTTAAACTTTTCTCCATTTTTCAAACAAGCATTCTCAAGTAGAGCAAACACTCGAGCTTCACACAAAACCTAATGTCATTCCTGCAAAATCATAAAGGCGAAACAAAATTTAACCCAGAAAATAACAAACCCCGATTCAAAATACTGTTGTTGATTAAATCATACCGCTCGAAACAGCCAGAAAGTGAATCCATTGTTCATACACAACTTGAGAAATTTATATCCATATTTGCAACAATTTATCAAACGAAAGAAAATCCAACCAGCAGCCGATTCATTTCTTAGGTTAAGAACTGTAGCTTCTTAAAACATAGAAACCAATGCAAATAGCAGTTTAAGTTCATTTTTGCACATATGAGCTCGCCCATGAAATAGTGGTAAAGCCTTAACTACCCAAAAGTCCAAAGAAGAATTACTAGGGTTTGGATGGTGTCAGTCGTCGAAATTTCTCCGGCAAAGAGGCAGTTAGAGATTTTAACTGAATGGAGAAAAACCCTAAAATGAAAATGAAATGACAAGTTCATACTGTACAGCAAGAAATTATGCGCAGTTTATGGGATTATGAGAATTGATTTTTTTATCGTTACAGAAAAAAAGTAGATCTCACTTGTGAGAGAAATAAAAAATAACGATTGACTTAGGAAAGTAACGATCAAAAATTTGATCACCACCAAACATACACTTAGCTTGGGCAGGAAATTACATAAGGTTGTGCAGTTGTGAAACTTCAATTTTTGAATTCAATTATTGTAATTCTAAGTGTTGTTTGGTTACAATGGTAAGTCTTTGAAATTATAATAGAATAGAAATGAGTTATAGATAAGTGGATAGTAACTGTGAATTCTACTAAATCTATGATTAAAATTAATATTTGACTTTGACCATTAAATTATAAGAAAATAATAATATTCTGGAAACATGCACTTAACCATAGTAATAAAATTAACTCAACCTATACTATACCCGAGTGAATTGTAAGTTAAGCACGTAAAAAGACATGCAATCCATTAATTAGACAGCAAAAGGAGCTCTATATAACTAGGCATTATAACATAACATAGAAAGTTTAATAGATGCCTGCTTAATATAAAAATAAAAAGGGTAATTTGTCGAGCCGAGTCATTTTCACATTTTCAAATGCGTGAATGGTACATGAACTTTATTTTATGTATCAAAATCATACACGAACTCAATTTTGTATCAAAATATAGATGAACAACCAAAAATATGATCGAAGTTTCTCGTATTAGAGCATGTTGGCTTGGGCTTCTGTCTATTAAAGAAGCCAAATGTGGCTTCCACCGGCCTCAAGAAGCCATATCCATTACCATACAACAGTTAAATCCACCTCAGAACATAAGAACATAAAACATTCTTGAATAATCTGTCAACAGAATCCAACCTACAAGCATTAACATTTTTTTTTTCTGCCTTCAGTAGTAAAGTGTCTAGATAACGTGTCACTAGAATCATTCAAAAACAAGATTTCATAATCGCTTTTGATAATATAACAATGCAGTCAGAAATTTAGAGCATGTTTGGTAAAGATTTTAATCCAATTAACATCAATTTTTTGACCATTATTTCACTATTTCGGCCGTCATTTTTGAATTCTTCTCTTCTAGATAGGACCCACTTTATCTTTAACGGACAAAAAATCAATTAACAAAATCTCTACCAAATAAGACTAAAATGCCTTAATTCTTCTACAACCATCAATACAGCAAATGTCACGGGCTAGAACAAAATACTAACCCTAGCAGAGTTTAACTTATCCCGTACTACTGTATTGGTCCATGTTGCCAAACAAGACACTAATGGCTTAATCAACTAAGAACATGTTTGGTAAGGATTAAAATCAGATGTTTAGTAGATTTTGATAGAAATTGTTAAAAAAAATTATTCTAGTTGTACATACTACAACCCCGGTTGACAACGTACTCACGGGAAGGAAGCCCACGATTTTTTTATTTATTGTGTGTATCTCTCTTATGTGTGTAATTGTCAGCTCTAATTGTACATGTAGCATTGTTGGTTGTTAAAATATGTGGTTGAAAAGTTGTGTATCCTATGTGACAATTCTGGGAACGTTCTACAACCACTTGGAAATTCACGGGAATGTTTTACTATGTCAAATTCAAATTTTAGCGTTACCAAGTTTACGTTCCAATTTACCGTTTGACCTTACGTGCGGAATTAATACAATTAATTGTAACAAGTCACAAATTAATTGTTGTCTAGGAGATTAAACATACACGTCCAATTAAGCCTATGTTGAATTGTCGGTTTGCGTAAAATAAATAAAACAGTAACAACACCAACTCACAATATGATGACGGAGAAACCCTAACGTGGGTAAAACCCCGAGACCAAGACAGTAGTTTCCACTATACCAATCCAGCCAGTACAAGTTACGCCAAACTCCGTACCAAGTCAAACTCGCTATTCCAGTCTCATGATCTACTGTCGTAGATACTGCTAGTCTCCTGCTAGCTTCCCGATCTACCTCCTGCAGTCCAATCTGCTATCCAATACAGCCTCCTAGTCTCTAGCTGAGTGTATCACCAAGTGAAATTTCAAGAACCTCATGTTCTTGTCTAGTTCCTGAATTTGTCATCCACCTCTCTCAATCTCTCAATGAGAGAGTCCCTTCCTCAACAGATGAAAAAGTCCAGGTGTTTTGTCTTCACAAATAGTGATGTTTTCCCCAACAGTGGATTGCCCGAATCACAAGGTGTTTATGGATGAATTCCTTGTTCAGTTCTACCTTGGATCACTTGAGAGAACATTGAAGATGATATCTATATAAAGCACAATATGGCAATCTATCTTTCACGTTCACAGCCTTTATATTTATAGTTGGGGGCAATTAGGAGTCTTAGGCCGTGTCAAACTTTCCAAAAATTGAAAATACGATTTTCCATATAACACTGTTGCTCGAGTGAACAACAAGCGATGCCACTTCGCTAGAGCGAACATCAAGCGGCAAGCAAGCGACGACCATTCTGCTTCCTCTCGCTCGAGCAGTGGCAGGGCGAACAGTTAGCGGACTTCCAACGTTGCGACCTTGATTTGAACCAAACACTCAAACCCTAGTCCCTACCATCTAGCTTTGCTAAATTGCACCCTAAGTCCTTAACTTTTATAACATTGTACAATTGAGTCCCTGACTTTTACAAATTTACAATTTAGTCCTTTTGTCCACAGAATCGTCAATTACACCTTTAGACCTAACACTATAAAATGTGTGGTTAAAATTAATTTTTAACTTTAATTTAAATTAAAATCTGAATTTTAATTTGTAAAATAAAGGGGCTCAATATCTACAACAAAACAAGTAAGAGCTATTTTCAATAACTATAAAACTGTTACCCTGGCCCCTTTTAAATATTGAGTGAGTTAATCAAGAAAATAATCCATAACATTGTTTGGGTACAACAAAAATCCAACCTCATACTTGCAAAATCATTAACAGGAACCCACATATGATGGCAAAATAACATAGGAACAAGTTCCATAACATAATAATATGCCATAAACAAGATATAAAGCAAAAGACTTAAAATTAAAACGAATTAGCCAAAATAAAACAAACAAAACCCAGAATTCAGAACACCATTCATGGCATAATCCATCAATCGTACATAAGATCCATTCAAAAAATCCACTAAACCATTCTGTTGAAATAAAAAACAAGCAAGCTTTGCTAAGCCCTTTGATGGATCAATCTAAACACAATAATACCCAGTTTACCCAGCAGCATTCAAGACCCTGTCAATCTCAAAAGAGATGTAAGCATCAACACAAGCATACTGCACTTGATCAAGCGTCAACCATCGGTAGTCCCACCTACTCATAGTTACTCTTCTGGGCTTCTCAAACTCTTTACCAAGCACAAAACTGGCCAAATTCTTCAGCCCTGTATTCTGCAAATTTCTCATCTGATAAGTGTATGCCGCGAGCTCCCTTAAATCCACGGCATTCGCATTGAACCCAAATCCGTAGTCCCTTTCAAGTTTGTCCAAGTCAGACTCAATTCCAACGCCCACAAAAGTGTAGTCCTGTTCGGAGAGGAACTCAACGAGATGGTCGGGAATATAAGAGGAGTGGATGAGTTGGTAGACCAGACAGCGGCGACCGACGCAGAGCTGGAGAAGGGCAACTGGGTTCTGAAGGCGGCTGAAGCTGGGTCGCCACTCTACGTCGAGACCAACGATCAGGCGGCAGTGGTTGTTGAGGGACTCAATCTCGGATAACCACTCTGAAACCATGCCGGGATCGTGAGTTACGAGGGTGTGGATAATGTCTCCGAAGAAGTCTACGTCGAACAGATTGTGGGTGTCATATGGTAACCGGTAGTCTTCAATGGTGATCGCCATAGCTCCGCCTCTGTGCCTTTGGAGACGCAAACATAGATCCCAACTAGCATATGAGTGAGTCTGAAGGCCACTGTTCACTTTCAATTAACATATTTTTTTAAGCCTGACGCCGAAGTACAAATTTCACGTTCACTATTAAATTCAATTACATTATATTTCATTTTTCTTTCTCCTAATTTTAATTACACAATCTTTCATAATATAATATTACACGTAAATCGAAAACTTTTCATTCTTTTTCAATCACTCATTTTTCTAAAAAATATTATTCCTCCCATTTTCATTTTCAAGTAATAGAAGTCAAACGGAGGCTTAATGTGGTCACGACATGTTTGTCAGGGAACGGATGGGGAATGGGAATCACAAGTCACCATCTAACCTACTCCTCCAACCCCAAGCCTTTACCCATTTGTGCAATCGAAAGCCCGAGCAACTAAAAAAAAAAAAAAAAAGGTTGAACTCTAACTTTGAGGGCCCTCATCGCCCCACTCCTAAATCTTTGTGAGGGAGGTAAATCGCGGGATGTACCCCAACAGGTCAAGGAACAAAAGTTGTCTATACATTACGCCTACAAGGAGTCTAATTCCATGTCTCATGAATCGAACCCCCACACTACGACTACCAACAAGGTGTAAGATAACCCCACTCCTATCCTTTGCACCACCGAATTATGCCCCGGAGGGCGAAAGGCCAAACAACTATTACAAAGAAAGAGATGCAAAGAATACGAATCAAGAATAACAAGGGATAATAGGAAGAATGGAAAGTGATGCATTAGCATTGTAATTTAGGGTCGTTTGATTGCGAAGATGAAATTTGGGTGAAAATAAAGCAGTGTTTGATAGCATGAAATTACATGGAAATAGAATTTCAATTCCATCTTTTCCATTTTTTTGTTGTTTGGTAGCACAATTACTTCCATGGAATTCCAATTCTTGAATGTCTTGGAAAGTATGATTTTTCATGTTTTCATGGAAAATCAATTCTTTTCTCGGGTACTGTAGCAATTTTTTATTCTTATTTATTTATTTATTTATTTATTATTATTATTATTATTATTATTATTATTATTATTATTATTATTATTTGGTAATTGAAACAAATTTTAAAAATTATTGTAAAAAAATATTTCCCTTTAATTAACAATTTCAATGTAAAACAAAGCAAAACGAACATTCAAAGATAGCTGAATTTTTTATTTATTTATTTTTTTGTTGGTTTTGGCAATGGAAACAAATTTCATTTCTAATACGAGTATATTCATTCATTTAATTGAAAATTTTCATATAAAACAAAGTCAAACGAGTATCAAAATTACTTTTATTTCAACATTTTTCACATAACAAATTATACTAATCAAATACAATAATTTACAATTTTCAGGAAAATAATTCTAGACAATTCAATTTCCTGAAATTCGTTTTCTAGGCAATTCAATTTCATCTTTACAATCAAACAGACCCTAAATAAATTTCAGAGAATTGAATTGTCTAAAAATTATTTTTCTAGAAATTGTAAATTATTGTGTTTGATTGGCATAATTTTTCACGTGAAAAATGTTAAACTAAAAGTATTTTTTTGGTATTCGTTTGGCTTTATTTTACATGAAAATTGTCAATTAAAAGAATAGAATTTACTGGTATTGGGGATGAAATTTGTTTCTATTGTCAAAAAAAAGGAAAAAAAAAATCATCTATCTTTTGGTGTTCATTTGACTTTGTTTTATATGAAAATTGTCAATTAAAGAAAAACATTTTTTTACAATAATTCTTAAATTTTGTTTCCATTGAAGAAAAAAAAGAAAAAAAACGCTGCAGTACTGAGAATTGGAATTCCAATTCAAGGATTTGATGGAAAATGCTGATGTGACCAAAAAATATGGAATTCATTTTCCATGGAAAATGTGAGGCTATCAAACACACCCTTATTTGATGTTGAGCACAAAAGAGTAAAAGTGACATTTATCACCCGTGATAATATAAGTACGGTACGTCTTGAAAAACACAGTGTGACATAACATATATTTTTATTCTAAAAAAACTGTTCACTAGTAACGTATAAAGATTGTCACATTGTACTGAAATGTGGTAGTATGTGACTAATTTACTAATCGGGATTGTGACTTGTTCTGATCGAAGAAATAGTTTAATAGTGATAATGGTATACCTGGAGTGTATTAAAAGGTACATGTTTCAAGTTTAAATTTTACTTGATCATTGAGTATTTTACTTGGAGTGTATTAAATGGTACATGTACAGTGATCCACTTCCCTTACAAGTGGTAGTTTGGTAGGCTCCTCAAACACGTTCGTCCTTACAAGTGGTAGTTTGGTAGGCTCCTCAAACACGTTCGTCCTTACAAGTGGTAGTTTGGTAGGCTCCTCAAACACGTTCGTCCTTACAAGTGGTAGTTTGGTAGGCTCCTCAAACACGTTCGTCCTTACAAGTGGTAGTTTGGTAGGCTCCTCAAACACGTTCGTCCTTACAAGTGGTAGTTTGGTAGGCTCCTCAAACACGTTCGCGTATTGCTCGAATAACTTCTACATGTCGGGGTGCAAGCTTTCTTATTTTTTATCGGGAAATGTGAAGTTTTATTGATCAAAAATCATATACAAATATACATGACATACTCGGACAAATAAAATTCTAGTGAAGATTACAAATACTCTGGGAATTCAAGCTTTCTTTCTTTATCCGTGTTGGTCATGAACTGTAGGCATACATCAAATGAAGAATGTCCTTAGCAATCTCCTAAGTCATTTCTTTGAATAAGACGATTTGGACTTTGAATAGGTGATTGGTCAGTCCCTTGCAAATATTTGACTTCATTGTCCCTACTGGACTTCCATAGTTTGTGTCTTCCAATTAAGACTAGGCCCAACATCTCCAACCACTATACATCAAGCACTACCTCAAGGTCGACGATTGGAATGGCATAGAGTGTGAGTAGGAACGAAATGCCCTACAGATCTACTAGCACCTTCTCAGACCCGCCTTAGCACTTTAGCTTATTACCGTTGGCCACTCGTACGATCATTGATTTGGTTGGCATCACTGGTAGTCGAAGCAGGTCGATGATGAGGTTGATGATAAAGTTGCGGGTTGACCCATGTTGGGCTGTGATGTCTAATGACCTTTCTGGGCTATGATGAGAAAATGGGCTAAAACCCAAATTCTATTTTATTAAACTAAGGCTCTTGCCCAATAACGTGACTTGATCCACCCGGCCCAACAGGTAGAAAGCGTGTTTTCTGGCAAGGCATTTTAAATGCAGTCCAAAACACGTCCTCTTTATTATTCTTGGGAGCCCTCCACCGTTGGATGAAATCTTGATCAATGGTTATCTGTCTGTGGGTATAAATATGCCTCTTGGTTGCCCTAATTGAGTGGAATCGTCACTTTCTTTCTCTTGAGCAGCCTGTGAGACTTCGAGACTCTTCCAAACCCTTCTTCTTCTTCGTGAACTTCCAATCTCTGATTGGAACTGATTTCTAAGTGATTCTTCTTTGCTTTACTAAAATACTAAGTGTATTGAAGGGGTTGGTGTATGATTTTACCCTTGTGGCTTCCTTTAATTTGATAGAGGAAAAGCCTTAGGGTTTGGGTGGATCGTGTGGGTCATATAGACGGGTACAAACCTGATTTTCTCTCAAGTCTGAGCCCAAAATATGAAAGACCTTCATCTTTGATGCTTGTGGTCAGAGTTTCGTTGATCAGCTAGAAGCGGATTTGTTTTATGTAATTTTTGTACTAACACTTTTCTAGGTTGTTTTGTATATTTGGGTTCATTACTTTGTGTAACAATTTTCGACTGGCTCTTGTGGATGAATTGAACCACGTTTTTGCAATATTCGATAGATCTAGTAAATTTCTTGGAGTTTCTTTGTGATAAATCTGGCTTTTCTTGGTGAAAATTGCCTACGGTGATTGGATTTGTTCTATCTTGGGTATTGTGGACTCGTACCTTGATGAAATTCGTGTGTGGTCATGTGAAACGACCACCACTATGACTTAATTCTTCGAACCTTACTTTTTTCGACTGGCTCTTGTGGATGAATTGAACCACGTTTTTGCAATATTCGATAGATCTAGTAAATTTCTTGGAGTTTCTTTGTGATAAATCTGGCTTTTCTTGGTGAAAATTGCCTACGGTGATTGGATTTGTTCTATCTTGGGTATTGTGGACTCGTACCTTGATGAAATTCGTGTGTGGTCATGTGAAACGACCACCACTATGACTTAATTCTTCGAACCTTACTTTTACTGCTTGATTTCTTGTTACTTTACTGAATAATTGTTCTTGCATTTGGACCTGTGTGATTTGAGTTAAGTTGCCTTTACTTATTCTGTTGGAGTAGTGCAGTGCACTTGTATATTGTTCTCTAATTCTTACTGTGTTGGAATATTATAGTAATATGAGTAATTGTTCTATTCCTGTCTTGTATTAATACCTTCCTCATTTCGAATCAACAAAACCTTTACCCACCACCCAAGCTTTGACCTAAGATCTTGAGTCTCACGGAATCCTGGTAGGGCTGGGTAGTCAATTTTAAAAAAAAAAACTTTGTGTTGGATACTGTGTGTATGTTAAGTTGTTCTTTCTGCACTTACATATACTTTTCTGCCTTGCCTGTAATATTAGGGCTGGGCAAATCTCCCGAACCGAACCGACCAAACCGAACCCGAACCGAACCGATCCGAACCCGACGGTTCTTGTCAAATTAAATACCCGAACGGGTATCTGAATTGAGAACCGACGGGTATGGTTCTGTTCTCGGTTCTAGACCAAGAATCGAAGAACCGAATAAGAACCGAATCTTTCTAATTTTTTTTTATATTGAGTAAATCAAATTATTTTAATTTTAACTTTTTCTAAACAAATTAACAAATTAATGATTTCTAAATCCAAATTTTTGGCCCAATAATTTGTTTCATTTCTAATTTTTTAATTTTTGGCCCAATTACCCATTTTATTGTTTCATTTCTTAGCCAAACAAGATCAAATCCACTAAATAACCCTAAACACTACAATAAAGCACATAACGTTGTCTCGA